GGCATTAGAGGGCCACCTCTAGGGCATAACAGGGCTACCAAGAAAGGACAGGACCATCTAGCTGGGCCTAGTAGAGAAGAGATTTCTGTTATCTAGAGGTCTAGGGAAATCTCAGCAGTAGGGAGAGACAGGTGTGTCTGCTTCCTGGCAAGGAATTCCCTCCACACCTGGGAACATCTTTGTCTCCCTCTAGTGGCCCTGTCTCATCTTTCTAATGTAGAGAGATTTATTAACAACATGATCTCAAGCCATGAGGCTTAGGAAGACTTCCAACAGATCAGATCTTTAAAGCTGAGGAGGCTCCAATATACAGCCTTCAAGGAACCCATGTTTTCTATAATGGAGCTGATCTCCTTGGGCAAGAACTTGCCCAGTACCCTTCAAGGATCTACAGACAGGTAGGGGAGGACTGAAGCTGGTGTGCTGGTGGGTCATAGTTCTGTTTTGCTGTTGGCATGTCGAGGGTAGACTGTTGGTTACTTTGGGCTAGTAAGATGATGTTTGGTATGACTTGGAGATCTGTATACAGAGGACTAATGGATATATTTGTGATATCTTCTGGCAGAATGTTCTTTGGGTGATAACCATACAGGACATAACCCAATGTCCCATTTAATTCCATTTCTTTTTCAGTATAAAGTATGTGTGGGAAAGATTGCTGAGTTTGAAGCAACAGAGGACACTGAGGCTTAGAAATTGTGATGACCACTGTTATGTCTAAGCTGGGAAGTGGTGATATTTGACACACAGCAAAGATTTGCCTTTGGGGCCATGACCCAGTTTCTCTGTGTTGGAAGAGGAGAGGTACAAATAGCTGGGCAGGAACTGTTTGTGAGCCACACCATAGTTTGTGGATCAGCACAGCAGATTTCATGAGGCAAGGTGTTCACACCAGAACATTGTCCCAGATTCACAGGCTCCTCCACTCATGAACAGGTATGTTTGTTACTTTTCTATTGCTGTAATACAATATCATGATCAATGCAACTTATAGAAGAAAGGGTTTATTTGCACTTACCATTCCCAAAAGATGATAGCGCATCACCATCATGATGGGGAAAGCATAAAGGCTTGAAGGCATGACAATTCAAGCTGTAGGATGAGAGCCAGGGGCTCACATCTCAAACCACAAGCAGGAATGGAGAGAATTAATTAAAAATGGTTCAGAGTCTCCAAACTTTCGTATTCTGTCCTCTGTGACATACTTCCCTCAATAAGGGCATGCCTTTCAAGACTACACAAACAGTACAACCAATTGGTGACTGAGTATTCAGATGCTAGGGACTATGGAGAGATTCTCTCATTTCAAACCACAGCACACCAGGTAGACTTGAATTAATTTTTCTGTTTTTTTCCCTCCAAACTGTTATAAGAAAAGCTTCAGATTTAAAGTTCAAGAGACACTGAGGCAGATCGTCTTTTGGAGTAAGAGATTTATTTGAGTAGATATTAATGCCTTAGAATGGTGTGGGAGAATTGTCTGTATTCTGTCAATTATGTTTTAAATAAACATTGATTGGTCAGTAGCCAGGCAGAAAGTATAGATGGGACAACCAGACAGGAAGCAGAGGCAAGTCTAGGAGAATAGGAGAATTCTAGGAAGAAGGAAGCCCATTCCTCCACAGTCCTGACCCATCCACAGAAGAAGCAAGATGTGATTGATTGCCTTGCTGAGAAAGGCACTGAGCTGGTGTGGGAGAATTGTCTGTATTCTGTCAATCATATTTTAATAAAATGCTGATTGGCCAGGCAGGCAATATAGGCGGGAAAGTCAGACAGGAAGTAGGGGTGGAGCAAAGAGACTGGGAGTATTCTGGGATGCAGGAAGCTCCCTCCACAGTTCTTCCCAGACCACCGGAGAGGAAAGATGTAAGCTGCCCCACTGGAAAAGGTACTGAGCCATGTGGCTAACGTAGATAAGGATAATGGGGTAACATAAGTTATAAGAGCTAATAAGTAGCCTGACCTAATGGGCCAATCAGCTTTATAACTTATAGAGATCTCTGTGTGATTGATTTTCTCTGGGACAAGCCGGCCCTCATGTTACACTGAGCCACATGGCTAACATATACTAGCATAATGGGCTAATATAAGTTGTAAAAGTTAATAAGAAGCCTGAGCTAATGGGCCAATCAGTTTATAACTAGTGTAGACCTCTGTGATTTCTTTGGGACTTAATGATTGTGGGAACTGGGTAGGACAGAAAACCTCAGTCAACAATAGAAAGACAGCTTGACAGAGGCTCTAAGGAGAGTTCAGACCTATGAATCAGTGAGAGGATTCTCAGCCAACTGAACAGCAAGAGTGATATGTGTATGGGCTCTTGTCACCCTGCAGTCAGACCCAGGGTTGAGGATGATGTGTACTTTCAGGTTTTCTTGGGTAGCAGGGCCTTCTCACCTCCTAGACAGAGTTGACACTGTCTCTGAGGACAGCCTCAAGCGGGGTGAGCATCTCTCCAGGACTAGTTCTGTATTTGGCATTTGATATCAGCTCCCCAATCAGCACATGTCTCCAAGGAGCCAGTCCAGTAGGAGGGAGATGGCTATGTCTGACAGAGCCAACCTTGGACCAGGCAGAGTGGGTAGGGAACTCCTTATCCTGACTCTTTATCATCTCATCAGCTCATAGAGGGAAGCATATCACCCATAGAAAGACAGAGAAGTTCTTGACTTAGAGGTGAAGTCATAGCTATAGTTATGTTTTGATTGAGGCTGAACCACACATAGGAAGACATGGTTCACATGGTCCCACCATCCATAGAGACACCAAAGTCATCTTAGCATTTGTGAGTACCTCTATAAAACACATGATGAACTATCTAACTGAGATGTGCTTATGAACTCATCCCTCTATGGGGAGTTTTGTTAGGGGCCAATGGTGAGAATATTGAGAATGTCAGGGCTGAGTACAGGTCCTCGCTGTAAGCACTCTCTAGTGTTTACTATTCCTTTAAGTGGTATAAACTCTTAGAAAGGTAACTCTCTGATGGACAGCAGACAGATCTATTTTCTGTGAACGCTGTGGAAGCTGCTCTGTTTGGTGACAGTCCAGAAGGTCCTCATGTCAGCCTGATAGCTTTGAACACCTCACAGATGTCTTAAGGAAAATGCACTCCAGCTACAAAGAGCTCTGTAGCCCCTACTGCTGGGGACCCGACTCCTGCCCAAGGAGATCTTTCTCCAGTCACTATCACTTCAGAAAAGACAACTTTGGTGAGCTCTCATTGACACTACTTCCCCTGCAGCTGTTATAACTTAAGTCAGGAGAAGCGCTTCCCCAGTTTGTAGCTGGTGAAATGCAAGATCTGATTATCCCTTATTGGGGGGTCCGTGTTTGATCTTCACGAAAGGCCAGCAATTGACACAACTTGGAGCAGTCCAGTGATTAGTAGATATTTCAGATCGAGAAGGGTATACTTCACCTCCTTTCTAGTTATGTAAGCAGTTTTACTGGCACTCTTTTTTATGTCAGCCAGGAAACCTGCTCTTGTGTACTGAACACCTGGAACATTAGGCCCAATAAAAAGCCTTCTTCAGCATTGTAATGGGTTTACTGCGAGTCCCCGAAAGTAGCCAGTCCCAAGCAGGCAGACAGTGGGTCTCAGGACGGTGCAAGTCCCTGGCAGTGGGCAGTGGGAGCAGCCGGTCCTAGGCAGGGACCATGCACGAGACCACATGGCAGGAAGGTGGCTGGACCCCTGGGAGCTATGTGGGCGGTGGTGGGTGGGAGGCGGACAGAGGCACACCATATGGAGTAAAGTTGGACATTTATTAGGTGCGTTATGGAGGGAAAGGGAAAAGAGAGAGAGAGAGAGAGAGAGAGAGAGAGAGAGAGGGAGAGAGAGAGAAGAGAAGAGAAGAGAAGAGAAGAGAAGAGAAGAGAAGAGAAGAGAAGAGAAGAGAAGAGAAAAAGAGAGAGGAGAGCTGGAAAAGGGGGAAGGGGAGGAGGGGAGAAGTGGGGGAGAGTCAGCTTTAGAGGGACAGGAAGAGAGGAAGAGACTAAGGCTGAAAGCAGGAAGGAGTGGGCGTGGCTTATCTCTTAAAGAGACAGAACATTGCAAGTATGCTCTCACTTTGCCTATGCGTGGTCTTCATTAAGACGCCTAGGCTGTTTACATGAATAGCTAGTAAGATACTGGGGTTTTAGGCCCAGCAAACGCCTTTACAGCAAGGAAATGACAGCCAAAGAGTCCCAAAGTCACCAAGACTCAAGGGTCTATTACCCTAAGTTCCTGGACGGCAGACTCTGCAGCTTGAGCTACTGAGACTATCACAGCTGCGGCTCTGGAGGACAACAGGCTTCAAAGAGCGATAGCACAATACTAGCCCAGACTAAAAGGTCGGTGAGTGCCGCTAGAAGATCTCAGAAGTCAGCAAGTATTAATTGTTGGGATCTAACCCCAACATAAAACATTTCTCATACCAGAGTGGAGGTGTGAGGATATTAAAAACACAATTCACAAGACAGTGTTGGGGGGGAGAGTTTCAATGATCATTCAAATCCTGAAATCACCTGAGTTTACTATGTAAACTGAGAGGAAAATTTAACAAAAACTTCATTAGCATTCTGTTTCCCTAGGTAGCAGGGGGAGGGAGGGAATGACTTAGGTCACATCTTGCCTATGCGTATTTTGTCTCATAGACTGAAAACACATCTTCCCCAGGTGACCTAATTTACAACTCTTAACAAATGCATTAAATCCAAACATTTACAGGGCATGTCAAACTTCTCAACATCTTTAAACAGTTACAAACATTACCAGGACAATACCATAATTCCAGAATGGGAATTAACAATAAATCCACAATTTGACATGTCACAATTTTCTTAAATCCATTCCAAACAAAAGAAAAGAAGTTGTTGTTGTTGTTTTTTTTTCCTGATGGGTGAGAGACCAATGATATTGCTGCTATTAAGTACCAGTCAGCAGTCAGACCCTTAGGTTGCCCTCTTTGTATGTGAAGAGGGGCTTCAGTCACTCCTTATTTTGAGTCACCCTTTCCCTGAGGGGAAAGCTTGGGTCTTAGTTCTCAGGTCCAGTATTTTAATCAAATGAGTTCTTGTCCCACCCAAAGATTAAAACAGTCAAATGTTTCAGTTTGCATTCCTAGTCCGGCTCCAGAGCAAACAGGATTCAGACTGCAGGCAAGTTGTAGTCGCCTCGGCAGGGCCTCAATGGCTGTGTGGGTCCCAAGTGTCTGGAAGCAGCTCAGCATCCCACAGCACAGCACGGCATCTGGCAGCACAGAGGGGCAGCAGCAGGTCCAGTGGATCAGAAACTCCTCTCTGTGGGGATAGGGAAAGAGCCTCAGTGGGGGATTAGCAGCAATGATGTCATCGGGACTACCACTCCCTTTCTGTGCGTGCAGTCACCTCATCCAGCTGTATTTGCACAAATACATCCTCGACCTAAAATCAATACAGGGTCAGGTTTTATATATATACAATATATACATATAGATTCCAGTGCAAGGGCTTTTTCACCTTGCCTTAACAAAGGTCGCCTTGGTGTCATCATGCTAAAATCTGTCTGCAGCTTTGCCCATCCATGAAAGGCGTATGACTTAAGGCATTCTGTGGCCATTTTTGATCCTCCTGTTATATCCTTTTAAGTTGTTTTCCAGGAGGCATAGGCACGCTCCGCAGTTCCTTCTTACTATTAACCGTGTATGGAGTTCTTCTACGGGAGGATCCATCTGGAAAATTTAGCACAACATCCTTTAAGGGATCTTTTGCTATAACATAAGGAAAATACAGTTGTGCAAACAGCCGCAAAAATCAGCTGGGAAAAAATTATTATTCTGGCCTTTAAATTGAGCAAACGCAATTGCCCAAGAATCACTATTTTTAAATTATCAATTAATCTGTTGCTTAGTATAAGAAACATTGATCATAGTCATTTCTCTGCCAAAATATCTCCTAGATTCCATACTGCTTCTGCGCTAAGCAAGCTACTGCTTCATAATAAAAGTTTAATATCCGAACTAGCAAAACAGGAAGGTGCAGCCGTAAAAAGCAGACTGTTTTTCTATAGCATAAGTTTTGTTTTTGCTGTTTTTGTATAGCCTACCATACCTTCTTGAGTACCTGCCTGGCAGCTTCTGTAAGCTGTCTTCAGGAATTTGGTTATTGGCCCTTTAAGAATTTTATTTAATGGCTCAAGATCTCCCATAAGAATATTTTAATTAAGGCTTTTGCTATTGTATGTCTAATTAAAAGTTTGCAAAGTATCTTCCTTTTAAGTTGCAAGTATGCCTAGCTGATAGGAAAATGGAAAAAAAGGATATTTAACAAATGATGCTTGCATAACTGGACATCAACATGAACAAAAGTAGATCCATATTCTTCACTAAGCACAAAACTCCAGTCCAAATGGATCAAAAATCTCAACATAAAACTAACCACACTGATTCTCATAGAAGAGAAAGTAGTAAGTACACTTGAATACATTGTCACATCCCAGATACAACCACAGTGGTACAGACACTGAGATAAACAATTAATAAATGAGGTCTCCGGAAACTGAGAAGCTTCTGTAAAGCAAAGGACATGGTCAACAGGACAAAACATCAGCCTATAGAATAGGAGAAAATCTTTACTAATCCATTCCAAGACATACAAAGAACTCAAGAAATTGGTCATCAAAAGAACAAATGATCCAATAAAAAATGTAAGATACAGACTTAAACAGAGAATTCTCAATAAATGAACCTAAAATGACTGAAAGACATTTGAGAAATGCTCAACACTTTTAGTCATGCATTTAAGAGAAATGCAAACCAAAACAACTCTGAGATTCCATTTTACACCTGTAAGAAGGGCTAAGATCGAAAAACACTGATGACAACTTATGCTGGAGAGGATGTGGGGTAAAGCAAAACTCCTCCACAGCTGGTGGGAGTGCAAGCTGGCACAGCCACTTTGGATACCAGTATGGAGATTTCTCAGGAAATTAGGCAATAATCTCCCTTAAGACTCACCAATACCACTTTTAGGTATAGACACAAAGAATGCTGAGTCATACCACAAGGACATGTGCTCAACTGTGTTCATAGCAGAATTATTTGTCACAGTCAGAATCTGGAAACAACCTGAATGCTCCTCTTTTATACAGATGATAAATGAGTTGAGATAGAAATCAGGGAAACATCATGTTTTACAATAGCTACAAATACCATGAAATACCTTGGCGTAACTCTAACCAAACTAGTGGGAAAACCTGTATTACAAGAATTTTAGATCTTTGAAGAAAGAAATTAAGACACCAGAAAGTGGAAAGATCTCCTATATTCTTGGGTAGGTAGGATTTACATAACAACAAATGGAAACCTTACCAAAAGCAATCTATAGATTCAATGCAAAATCACAGCAAAATTCTTTACAGACCTTGAGAAAACAGTACTTAACTTCATATGGAGAAATAAAAACTCGGGATAGCCTAAACAACCCTGTAATGAAGGAACTTCTGAATGCATTACAATCTCTGACTTCAAACTCTACTACAGAGCCACAGTACTGAAAACAGCCTGATATCGGCATAAAAACAGAAATGAAGACCAAAGAAATTGAACCAAAGTCCTTGGATATCACTCCACATGCCAACCAACACCAGATTTTTGACAAAGAAACAAGAAATGTGAAATGGAAAAAGAAATCATGTTTAACCTCTTTACATTTTTGCAGACACTGGGCTGACCTGAAGCTGCCCTGCTCTGGGCTACCTATTTTGCATACTTGCCTTTCAGCTCATAGCTGAAGCCAGGTCACAAGGCAGGGGCAGGATATGCTCCCCTGATCCGCTGTTTGGCTTGGCCTTCCTGTTGTACTAGGGATCAGGCAGTGTCTGTCCCTCATTATTTGTTCTGCCTGGGCACAGCCCATACTTTCTAAGTTTAAAAGTCCTTAACCAGTGTTAGGGGCAGCTGGCACGTTTACAGGCTCTCTGTTGTCTGCCTAGTTCCTTATCCCGTATTTATATTTATATACAGTCACAAGCTCTGGCTGGTGTGCCTGTGCCGACTTTTACTATCTTTTCCCTTTTATTTTAACTTGTAATAATAAAATTAGTAGAATTCCTGAATCCTCTCTTCTGTTCTATCGATCGACTCTGGGCAGTGCTTATGAGAGGTAACTAAACTTTCTCGGTCTCCCGCTTGCCTTTCTGGCTCCACTGCTCAGGCGGGTTAGACTCAGCTGGCTGTAGCTCCTGTGGGTGGGTGAACTGTCACGATCTCAGTGGTAACCTAGGTGATCACTAGTGAAAACGCTACACTTCCTTCACTTTTCCTATCCGTTCAGCAGTGGTGGAAGCTGCATCTCCGTGGCGCTGCTTGTAGTGGAAGGTACAGCCTCACCTTGGGTTCTCGGAGTCCCAGAGCGACCAGAAGCCAGTGGCGGCTCTGCAGCCAGCGCAGGTGCGGGAATGTGGTATTTACAAACTCTATCTCTGCCTTTGCTTCTGCTATCAACATCCATAACTATTTCCTTGTCCCACATTTATATTTATATACAGCTTTACTCCTGATTTTAAATTTTTCTGCTTCTCTCTTTTGCTTTTCTAAATACTACTATTTATTTCTGATCACGCCTTACTCCCATCCACCTGTGGTGCAGTTTTTTTTTCACAGGTTCCTCACATTCTCCTCTGTACGTCTGGTCACTCTTCTGTGTTTTTGGGGTTCACCAATCAGCCTCACATTGCAGCACGATTACATAAGGGTCCAGCACCAACATAAAACATTTCTTAAACCAGAGAGGAGGCATGGGAATGAAGACACAATTCACCCAACGGTATTGGATGGGAGTTTCAGCGATCATTCAAATCCTGGAATCACCCACGTTCATTTTCCAAACAGCTTTTATATCTATGTTAACTGAGAGGGAAGTTTAACAAAAACTTCATTAGCATTCTCTTTCCTCGGTAGTGGGGGAAAGGAGAAATGACTTAGGTCACATCTTGCTTATGCCTATTTTGTCTTGTAGACTGAAAACACTTCTTCCCCAGGTGACCTCCCAATTTACAATAGAAGGAGCAGAGCAACATTAGCACATCCAGGCACGTGTTGAGGTGGCACCATGTTTGCTTTGCTTCAAAAGAGCCAGGCAATCCCCTCCTGTGTGGGAGGTGCAAATTGTGCCTTGTAAGTGGCTCAGAATCTCTGACCCAGACAATGTGGAATATGGGCCTTCGTCCCCCACAATTAATGAGCTGAAAGTTCCCACATTGCAGTTCAGGAGCGGCAGTACTGGTGTCTGTGTGCCTCTATGCCCAGAGTACAGTCTAGGACTTCCTTCTTCCCAGAACTCTCCTGTTCTCCTTGACCTGCCTCTGCTCCCCATCTGGTTGTCCTACCTATACTTCCTGCCTGGCTACTGGCCAATCAGTGTTTATTTAAAATATAATTGACAGAATACAGACCATTGTCCCACACCAAATCCAATATCACCTCCCCTTTTCTGTCTAAAGAAAAAAGGAAGGTTTTAACTTTAACATAGAAAGATTACATAAAACAAAACAGTTATCAACCAAAAATCATAGTTACAATATTTAGTCCATTTATATTTGGCAAATTAAGGAAACTACTCCTCTGTCATCTATCCTCTCTTTGTAAGTCTAAAGTTTTATATCTAACTTATCTTTCTTCAATTCCATCAAAGACTCTAGAAGCATATAATATTACCTAATTAACAGGAAGTTTATTGTAAGCAACTTCTAAAACTGTGGAATTGACAGAGTTATCTCGCTGTCTGGACAGTCACCCAAAGTTCTTCTGTAACATTGGGGCATCCATCTTCAGTCTACAGGCGTGTAGTTTCTGGCAGACTTTTCCATGAAGCAAGAAATTTTAAAAACAGGTCTGCCTATATTGGCAGCTTGCCAGTCACTTTGTTCTGTGCTGAGGAACATTTAGGTTGTTTCCAGGTTTTGGCGGTGACAAACAATGCTGCTATGAACATAGTTGAACACATCCTTGTAGTACGATTGAGCGTCCTTTGGGTATATACCCAAAAGCAGTATTGCTGGGTCTTGAGGTAGATTGTGTCCTTATTTTCTGAGAAATCACCATACTGATATCCAAAGGGGCTAAACCAGTTTGCACTACCACCAGCAATTGAGGAGTGTTCTTTTTAACCCACATCCTGTCCAGCATAAGTTGTCATCAGTGTTTTTGATCTTGTTCATTTTTACAGGTGTAAGATGGAATCTCAGAGTTGTTTTGATTTGTATTTCTCTGATAGCTAAGGGTGCTGAGCATTTCCTTAAGTGTCTGTCAGCCATTTTAGATCCCTCTGTGAAGAGCTCTCTGTTTAGGTCCAAAGCAGCTTCTTTATTTACCTATGACAATAAAACATACTCATGGCATACATAGGGGAGTCCCACATCACTAATCATCAAAAACCTATTGTGATTTAACTTCTGGCCAACTTCGACAGATTCCCAGAAACATAGGCCTTCCTACTCCAGCCAACTGCTGAAGCCCAGTAAACCACAACCACCATGGGGGAACTCAGCTCACCAAGTTTGATTATGCACAGCGTTAGAACCATTTTCTCTTAAACAGTGAGCTCACTGGGCCTGCTGCACAATGAGAACTGGCAATTCCGAGGGCTGCAACTGGACTTGGCATAGCTGAAACCGTCAGTCTAGAGACATTGCTGCTACCAAGCTGACCAAGTATATGCCAGTTTGTTGTCTGAGGTTTTCTGTCCTGCTCGGTTCCCGCAATCATTAAGTCCCAAAGAAATTACACAGAGGTCTACGTTAGTTATAAACTGATTGGCCCATTATCTCAGGCTTCTTATTAACTCTTATAACTCATATTAGCCCATTATTCTTGTCTATGCTAGCCACGTGGCTCAGTACCTTATTCAGTGGGTCAGTCACATCTTCCTTCTTCTGAGGCGAGGTCACAACTGCATAGGAATGGGCTTTCCTCTTCCCAGAATTCTCCTGTTCTCCTTGACCCACCTCTACTTCTTGTCTGGTTGTCCCGCCTATACTTCCTGCCTGGCTACTGGCCAATCAGCGTTTATTTAAGATATAATTGACAGGATACAGATCATTGTCCCACAGCACCAGATGGTTTGCCAGAAAAGCCACTTCACCAGTTGACCAGATGTAAAGAGTGTGTACCTTTTGCCCACAGAAGCCAGAAGAGGAGTGCTGGGGCCTTTGGAACTCAAGTTAGTTATGAGCTGCCTGATGTGGTTGCTGGGAACAGAATTCAATGTCCTCAGGAAAAGCAGCAAGCATTTTCTCTCCAGTCCTTAGTTTTTATTCTTATTATAAATTTCTGTTTAGGTCCAAAGCAGCTTTTTTATTAACCTACAACAATAAAACATACTCACAGCATACATAGGGAAGGAATTTCTCTCCTGTCTTGTGTTGTTGTGAACATTAATTTAATTGCATTTCATGTATTCTGACATGTCATGCCTCACCATTTTTTAAACATTTTCTAATTTTCCTGTTTAATTCCTTTGACTCTAAGGAGTTTATACAGGTTTTTGATCCTTTCAAGGAGTAATGCCCTCTTATTCTGATTTTGATCATGGCTACTGTGTACAGCAATTGGAATGGAGGTCATCTTCTTGCTGTAGCATAGGCTGGTTGACATGGTCGGTGGTCTGGGTACTTGGTAGATATTTCTTTCTTCCAGGATAACCTATCTATCATCTCTCCCTATCTCCCCTTGAGTCTGCTTCATTGTCTACCTTGATGGATGGATGGCCTTCTACCTTTACACAAATTCTGGAACGAGAGTCTTTCTGACCTCTCCATGCCTTGCTCTGTATTGGTTATTAATTTCTTCTGCTTCTTCAACAACTCACAGCTTTCCACTCTTACACAGCTTGTTTTGATAATACATCTTTTGAATTCTTGAATTGGCTTTCTCCTTGCCTTCGCTTTGATACCATCCCTGGCTGTGCCACTCTGATATAAGCACTTGCCTTAACAGCCTCGGTCCACAGAAGACCCAAATTCAAGCACCACAGGCTAACCTGACTCTACCTCTCACTATACATCTGCCACCTCCCTGTCTTTGTGTTCCCTGGAGTCCAGTGCTGTGCATAGGGTTGGGAGTTACTGCCCTATCATTACCAGCAAGCCAGGGTCTGAACAACTCGAATGAAGGAGACTATCCTGGCCCAGCTGCTGTGGGCTGCTGAGTTGCCCCACCCGTGTCGTAAGAGTTGTCTGGCGTGACGTGGATGTGATGCCTTTGAAGCAGAAGGAAGTTATTAGGGTACCACTCCCATTTAGCCAGAACCAGTTCTAAGTCGTGCTGGGAAATGGCTTGCACACGTAGCAGGTGGTGGAGAACAGAACCCCCGACACCACCTAGCACCAATGCAACGTTCAATCTCTGTTTAGATTGTTAGTGTAGCATTGGGGGCCTGCTCAGCGTATACGTTATCTCGACCCTTGCTTTCACTGCCCTTCCCCATGAGGCTTCAGCCCACTCAGCATGCACATCCCTAGGAGGCTACATCAGCTCAGTGCCTTCTTGGATGCTTTTCTAGGCAGGGTATCCACAGTGGGCACTGGTTGCATTACAATTATCAGCTAAAACCTCTGGTGATTTGGGAAGCATCTGCTTGTTTTGTTTACAAGATTTTGTGTTTGTTGGTGCTGTAAGCATCATTTTCAAGAGCGGAGGGTGGTGCCACGGGGGCCACTGACCGGAACAAGCCAGGCATATTTTGGCAGAGGATGAGTTCCGGTAATAGAATGGAGCCCTAGCTACAGGGTCCTCCCGTGCTTATCAGGTAAATCTAGAGTCACTCTTTGAAAAGCAGGTAAGTTGGCACAAAATCAACTGTCAGAGGAAGGGGAAGAAAAAAGAGGTGGGTCCTTTGGTTCCTGTTAAAAGAAACCGGATTCTTAGCCTGTTTGCTAACTCATTTACTCACACCACAAATATTTGTGGACTCAAGCCTGGGCTGGGGCCTGGCGATTCTAGACCAAAGACCCAAACCTCGGGGGACTTATGACTAGCGAGAAGGGGCCAGTGAATGTTTGATGTGCTATGTGATGCTGTGCAGAAAACAGGAGAGTTCTGAGAGGCAAGGGAGGGGCAGAGACAAATACTCCAGGCCCACCATCTCCATTCAACATTGCTATAGCCTATTTCCACAGTGTTCCCACTGCCTGCTCCCCCAGCTTCTGCTTGAAGGCTACCACAGAGGAAGCTCCACTGCTGTTATCTCCAGGAAACAAGTCCCTGCCAGCCCTGTGTCAGAAGACAACCCACTTGAAGTTTGAGAGCTGCGACCAGTCTATGATTTGCTTGTTTCACTTACCCTACACAGCCGGCATCAAAGTTAGTTGCACGGTTCAGAGGGCATGATATACTAAGCATGGGCCGTCTCTGTGACAGAAGCTAGCTCATTACCCTAGCTCCCTGTGAGGACAAACACTAAGGTGTCCCCTCAGTCAGCCTCCCTGCCCTGTCTCAGTCTCTCCAGCGATGCCTAACTTAGGTTTCCATAAACCTCTCCCTGGCTACCCTGCTTCCAGTGCTACCAGGCTCAGCTTCCATGAATCAAACCCCCGAAGAGTCCCCCAGAAATGTGCATGGCCTTTCTAGGGTCCTTTCCCCTGACATATGACACACACTATTGGAATGCGAGTGGAGAACAGGCACTTAGCACATATATCCCCAGGGGTCTAGTTAAAGTGGATCCTAGGTAGGGTGCTAGGAGTGCCAGGCAGAGCTGATCTCAGGCCTTTCCCTTGCCTGTTGTAGACTCAGGGAGGCCCTTTCCTTTCTACTCCCATTATTAACCTTAGGAGTGCTCAACCTGGGGCATTTGCTATGTGGACCACGGTTTTTAAAAGACAACAAGGCAGTGGCACCGGCCATCAAGTGCACAAAGATCGGATTGCTGTTTGGCAGTCTCATGCGCACAGGAAAGCTCCTCAGCAAAGAGTGACCCATCAGTGTGCAGGGTGTCAACATTGCATGCTAACTGAGCAAGGTCATTCTGCCCATACTCACACAATGAAGTCCTTGATACACAACCATGAGGACGTGAGTTAGGATCCCTAGGACCTATTTAAAGCCATTTTGTGAAGTTAGTGCTAGAGGTAGATGGGCAAGCAGATCTCAGTGGTTTGCCGGCCAGCAATGGTGAGCTCTGGGTTCAGTGAGAGACCTTATTGCTGTGAGATAATGCTCTTGTATGCTGTAAAGATGTGTCACTCGTATTGGTTTAATAAAACACTGATTGGCCAGTAGTCAGGCAGGAAGTATAGGTGGGGCAACCAGACTAGAATTCCAGGAAGAGGAAAGGCAGAGATGCAGTCACCAGTCAGACACAGAAGAAGCAAGATGAGAATGCCTTACTGAGAAAAGGTACCAAGCCATGTGGTTAAACATAGATAAGAATTATGGGCTAATTTAAGTTGCAAGAGCTAGTTAGTTATAAGCCTGAGCAATAGGCCAAACAGTTTATAACTACTATAAGCCTCTGCGTGTTTATTTGGGATTGAATGGCTATGGGATTGGATAGGATAGAAACTTCTGTCTGCCCCTTGTCTCAGAAAAGTAAGACAAGAGGAAGACATTGGAGGTCAGCCTCTGGCCTCCACATGCATGCATGAACACACACACACACACACACACACACACACACACACACACACCATTATTTGAGTCTGAGGGGGAGTGTCAGAGGATTTTTAATCTTCCTTATAATCTTACAGTGTAAAGTTTTGCTAACACAAAACCCAGTGTGGAACAGCCTGAGGACCTAGTGTTCTGCTCAGGTGGAGGCAAAGCATCCTGGTTCTGCCTGGGTCCCTAGTATGTGGGGCACAGGGATGGCCGAGGATTCAGTCTGTATCTTTCCTACCATATCTGCATCACGGACGGCATCAGGTCCTTCAGGGATTTTTTTTTTTTTAAAGACACCCTTACCCTCACTACGTAGTAGAAGATGACCTTGACCTCCTAATCCTCCAGCTTCCAGATCCTGCTGGGACGTGGAATTTATTCTACGTGGACTTGATCTCTGGGTGGCATGCAGAGAAACTCAGCTTCCAGAAGGCCATAGATCTGCAGCTGCACCTGTCCAGGAAGTGATCTTTAAGCTCTGCTTTTGAATAAGGACAGGAAGTGCTGTTCTGCTTGGGTGAGAGGACAGGGTGCTGTGTGCTTCCCCTGAAAAATAAACATGTGGAAATTAATGTAAAAGTGCTCAGCCTAGATTCCTAAGCATAAGGGGCCCCAGAGCATCAGAAGAGGTGTGGAGCCTGGCTGGAGCAAAGCGTTTAGAAGTGGGCGGCGGTTTGGAAGGACCTTTCAGGCCCCGGAAGACAGAATGCATGCACCCAGATTCAGGGGGAAGATCGTTCTTCTGGCTTTTCATACCCTAGGGCTGCTTCCCTGTTAAGGTTTTCTAATGGGTGAAGTTTTGTCGGCCTGAGTAACCTGTCCTAGAGCCTGGCTACCACATGGATAGGTCCTTGCAGGTTGCAGGATCCCCTACCTGCAGGATCCCCACAGTGTAGGCCCCACAGTCCTCAGGGCCTCAAGGCCGAAGACGCTGCACACGGTGCGGAGCGTGGGGAAGGACAGGGGGCGCTGTGGGGCAACAGGAACACGGGGCGGAGCTTGGCAGAGCTCTGTTGAGGCGGCTGGCCAGGGCACATGGCAGGGGCGAGGCCGTCCTGGGTCAGTAGAGGCTGGAGCCATCAACATGGTGAGAGGACCGAGTATTCCAGGGGGAGGAGGCGGGTGGGAGTCAGGGGAAGGCTGCATCACAGGCCCCAGGCAACTGCTGGGGCTTTCTCAGGCAGGGAATGCTTATGACAGAGCCAGACTCTGCTGCGTGGGTTCCCAAATCTCTCTTCACTCCTGGGAGCCCCAAATGCGGGTCAGGTAAGGGCGGGGGGGGGAGGAGAGGTGAGCGGGCTTGATTCTTGTCTTGTTGGAAACCCAAGGGCGGACTAGGACCTTACCTGGGACACCAGGGAAGGCCACCTCCCAGGAGAGGATTCCAGAACCTTTCACAGAGCGCGAGTGAGCACCTCCAGGCAGTATCTAAGTGACTTTCCTCGAAAGCACCGAGTTTTGGCACGGGAGGTTCTCATTCGAGGCCACTGTGGTGGCTGTTTGGGAAGAATAACAGCAGACAGACAGCCTACAATCTAAAGTGGAATCGCCCCAACTGGGGACAGTTACAGACGGGCAGTGACATCTGGGACTGGAGTGGCCGCAGGTGACATTGCTGAGAGGGTGGAGGGCAGGGCCTGCGGGGAGTCCTCAGTTGCTTTCCCCCTGTCTCCATGGTTTGAATACTTTCATAGCTCAGAAGGGAGATGTGTTTGGTCGCAGCCTCTGTAACTGCTAACACGAGGCCTTCTGGGGTTTGACGTTAGGCAGAGCAACCTCTGTTGGCGAGCACCACTTTCTATAGCGAGAAAGGTTAGGACATGGACCTCAAGGTGCCTGGGCTGATGACTAGTTTCTGGAGTTTATATATACTGGGTGTGTACCCTAGCCGTAACGACTTGCGTGGCTCCCAACCCCTCAAAATGAACTCAACCTTCATCTCAATAAAGCGGTCTCAGCCTACTGAGATTGAGTCTGTCAGACTCTCTCCTTTGCATTTCTTGCATGAAGAGGTTCCTGCGGCCCTATGCCAAGTAGATTACCTGTGTGCCAGACTGGGTTACTGTGCAGCTTAGGAATCCTGTAGGCTCCCAGAAGCGTTTTTCTGTTTCCTGAAACGCTTTTGTACCTTTGAGAACTATGCTTTCTGTTGGACAGGCCAAATGTGTGGGTCACTTCCCTGTTTCTGTGATAAAATACCATGACTCAAACCAACTTGAAGAAGAAAGCGTTTATTTCAGTTTATGGTTCCGGAGGACTGAGTCCAGAATGGCAGGAAAGGGATCCATGCCTGCAGGAGCAGGAAGCCGGCTGATGACATTTCTATTCACACTCATGAAGCAGAGAGCAAGAAGAAGTGGAGTGTGGCTACAAACCCTCATTCCTGTCTTCCAGTGAGGGATCCTCAGCTGAGAAAATGCCACCCGTAAGATTCCTTTAGGCAAGCCTGTAGGATATTTTCTTAGTTAGTGATTGATGTGGGAGGGCCCTGGCCACTATGGGCAGTGCCACTCCTGGGCAGATGTTCCTGGACTGTATAAGAAAACAGTCTGAAAGAGCCATGAGGAGAAAGCCAGTAAGCAGCCCTCCTCCACAGCCTCTGCATCTGCTCCTGCCTCCAGGTTCCTGCCCCGAGTCCCTGTCCTGTCTTCCCTCAGAGATGTACTTAAAAGCTGTGAGGTGACGTAAACCCTTTCCTCCTCAAGTTACTTTTGGTCATGCTGTCATGGAAACGCTAACTAACACAGTGCCCTCAGCTGGTGACCACATGTTCAAGCATATGAGACTACGGGGTGGGGGTGGGGAAGCATCTCCTGTAATGCTGTTTGTCACCTATGGTCCTTGGATGGTGAATACCCATTTTTAGTTTTAATGGAGTATGAAATTCTTAGGAGAGTAGTAAAGCATACCTCTTCATTTTTCTACAGAAGTTTCCAGAAATAACTAGGGCATGAGGGCTCTAAACTAATCAGCACTAACCACTGATGGATTTAGAATCTGAATGGACTTTGGAAGGTGGTGGGACTGGGGAAGGTGGGACCTAGGTGGAGCAATGGTCCTAGGTGGAGCAATGGTGCCTTAAAGATGGTACATCTTGTAATTGACTTCTGGTTTCTTTCTCTGATTTGTGGTTGCTAGGAGGTGACTAACTTTGCTCCCCTACAACATCCCTGGTGGTGTAATGTCTCTGTCTTATCACAGACTCCCAAATAAACATCAGCAGCAGGGACAGAAATCCCTGACACTGTAGCCCAGGACAAATCTTTCATGTCTTGTCCCTCTCAAGTGCTTGTCATGGTGATGATATCTCTGACTTAATCCCTAGCATGCCTTGATGGATCTACACTGAAATTCAGTTTTTTGAGAGTGTCAGACAAACTGACCAACTGAAGTTAGAGACTGTGGGGTGTCTCTTCTGCACCTCAGCATTGTTTCAGGTTTCCTCTCTCAATCAACACTGCACATTCTGAAGTGGTCCTTGTTGGGTCCAGGGGTCACATAATAATGGAGGGACAGACCACCAAAGTCTATTAAATGAGAAGCAAGCTTTACTCCAGAAAAAGAAAATAAAATCACCATGGGGCACACAAAGCTTCTTGGCTATTGCTGTGACCGTAGCCAGAGATCAGGCTTCTGCAGCTGTGGCCATGGTGGCTGGTTTTGGGTCTCCTCTTACCGTAAAATCAAGCACCAAGTGTGGGTCAAAGAGCTTTTACAACCTTGTGGTCAGGCTTAAAGTCACATTACATTTTAAGTTTTACAGCGTTTGGTTATGGGACGTTAGAATGTTGACTTAAGGGTGTTTGTGGAAAGCCTGCGGCTGACACAGCTGCTTTGTGCTGCCTCTGAAAGAATGCACGGCAGAGAGGAGAGTCACATAGGGGGCAGCTGAAAATAAAGGGGATACAAGTGGAGGATTCCATAGAGAATAGGATTCCATAGAAGCTAATCTTTGTCCCCAGTACTTGCCTGGTTGGGAAGCTGGGAGGAAGGAGACAATTGTGAAAAGTTTATCTCTGTGCACAGTGGCTTCCAGGAATTCTGTTCTTAAAGCAGAAAATGTTAAAGGTTAACACTGGCTCCCGGCTTGATTTTTATCCACCCAAAATGTGTTTGGGGTTCCAACTTTGTATTTCTAAATTCATGGATTGGACCCTTTATTTCTGTATTCCATTCTTGGACGCTTCAGTCCTCAGTAACCAGAATCCAGGATTACGTGACCAGCAGCTCACTTAAGGCTGCACATTGAAAATATCTAGGTCCGGTTCATCAGGTTTGCACTTATCCTTGACTTCAGATCCTGAGGCCCACAAGAGTTTCTTTATAAAGAATGACCTGGAGTTGGGAAGATGTAACAGTAGTTGCCCTCAACCCTAATGACCTGAGACTTGGTCCCAGGCAGAGACAGGAGAATCTCTAGAAGTCTGAGGCTTGTTAGCCTGGCTTACATTGCTGCAGAGAAACCCTGTCTCAAGGAGGAAAGTGGGAACCAAAATATTAAGAGTGTCCTCTGACCTCTGTACATGTACCATGGCACACATATGCCCGCACACACACACATGTACGCACACACACAAAAACAAACAGTCTTAATTTTTTTTAAGTAAGAGCCAACAGCAGAGGAACTGAACCAAGGTGCTGACATTGGGTGTTCTCTGTGCCTCACACACCGTGCAATCCACATTCCAGGTTTGCAATCGGCAGCGTGGGCTCCCAGTTCACAGGAGGTCCTTAAGGAAGAGTTGAGAGAGAAATTATGGCCATCACTCAGCATCTCAAGCAGGGTCAATAGAAGCTTATGGAACTTTCCTTCTCTACTGAGGACCTAATGATGAACCCTGACTTGGATTTGTCTTCTGAGAGAACACAGGGGATGTGTCACAGGGCCCTGGTACACTCTGTGAGGGACCAAGAGTTTGTAGACTCAACTTCCTGCTAAACAGCCCTGGACTACTAAGAGACACAGTGTACTTCAGCTGCCTAAATACAAAAGGAAAGGGTAACCAAGGTCCTAGTGCCCCAGGGCAGGAGATCCTGTGCTCCATAGCACTGGGTGTGATCCTCATGTGGACAAAACCTCCTGCAGACCCTAAGTTGCTGTGCTGCTCAGATTTCTCCTAGAGCGCAGCTTTTGCTTTTGTGTTTTCACAAAGCACTGTTGTGGGCACCTTCCTCCCTAGAGACTATCACCACACACAGGCACCTTCCATGCCCATTTTGAATGCTGATGCGGTTCAGCTCCATTGCCTTCATCCTGGCTATGGAGGTGATGGCACAGAGATCCATTAACTGTTTGGAACTGTAGGACATGAATGCCCCCAGTCACAGTGCAAGAACTGAAACAGCCCAACCATTTGGACTCTACGTCACACTTTTTATTAGTTACTTTTTGTTACTATGATAAAACACTATGACCAAGGTAGCTCATGGAAGGAAGGGTGTATTTGGACTAGTTCAAGAGGGTTAGAGTCCATAATGGCAGAGCAGATGAAGCAGGCAGTAGGCATTGTAGCTGGAGCAGATGCTGAAAGCTCCGTTTACGACTTTTGGTTATAGGACACTAGAATGTTAACTTAGAGAGTTTGCAAAAGCCTGTATAGATGCAGCTGCTTTTCACTGTCCCTGAAAGAATGCAAGGCAGAGAGTAGAGTCGCATAGGGGGACAGTTAATTATTAAGGAAATACAAGCAGAGATCCCCAAAGAGGCTATTGTTAGAAGCTAACCTTTGTCTCCAGCCCCAGCTGGGAAGTAGGTCTTGAAGTGCAAGCAAACTTGAACAAGAAAGCAAACTGGAAACAGCACTCTGAAAACCCGCCACCAAGGACATACCCCTTTAGCAAGGGTTTACTTCCTAAGGCTCTGCAAACAGCACCGTCAGCCAGGAACCAAGTATTCAAATGCCAAAGACTAAGAGGAGACATTTATCTTAAACCACTACATGCCATGT